TCACGGCTGTCAAAACAACAAGAACGGGATCTCATTGCCTATATTCATAAGCTTTCATCACGTGGGATTCCTCCTACCCTACCTATGATAAAGAACTTTGCCCAGGATATCGCGAAAATCGAGGTCGGAAAGAACTGGCCGTACAGCTTCGTTCGTCGCAACCGTGACAAGCTCGGTTGCACCTGGTTTGATGGATTGGACATGGCACGAAGGAAAGCAGACAGCGCGTCTAGGTACAAGGATTACTTTGAGCTCGTAAGTTGATGCTAAATGGCCCCATTTCGCTGCTGACAGCGAAAGATCCGCACGAAAATTGAGAAATACAACATCCTGCCTTGCAACACGTATAATGTGGACGAGAAAGGCTTTCTCTTGGGCGTAATCAATCGAACGAAGAGGGTCTTCTCCCTCAATGTCAAAAAACAAGGCAAATTGCTCGGAGCAGCGCAAGACGGCAATCGTTCCTGGATTACCTTCCTTGCATGCGTCTGCCAGGACATGACGTCACTGCCCCCGTTCCTCATCTACCAAGGCAAGCCAGGACAAGTTCAGGATTCTTGGCTCACAGAATTTGAACCGGAGCATCAATCTGCCTTCTTTACAACGTCAGAAACGGGGTGGACAAATCACGAGCTTGGAAAGGAGTGGCTCACCAGCGTTTTCGACCGGTTTACCAAGGCAAAGGCTCGAAACGGCCGTGACTATCGCCTTCTCATTACCGATGGCCACTCGAGTCATGTGAATATGGACTTTTGGAGTGGTGTGACCAGCACCGGATCATCGTTGCAGTGTTTCCGCCCCATTCCACTCACAGGTTGCAGCCGTTAGACATGTCGTTGTTCAGCCCGCTCTCCACCGCTTACACCAAACAGCTTATCCAATGGACGACAAAGACACAGGGTCTCATCAGTCTGTCGAAGCGCGAGTTCTGGACCTTATTTTGGAATGCTTTTACGGCTTCCTTCTCCGTGCAAAACATTGCCAGTGGGTGGGAACGGACTGGCCTCCTGCCCTTTGACCCAGAAGTCGTACTGTCGCAGATGAGACGATTCAGACACGGGAGGCGACTCGGCAGAATCTCTAGTCCTTCAGCGACCGACTGCTCGAGATTTGCGCCGGCTTGTTGACAAAGCAGTCGACCATTCGTCTAGCGATGCTGGTCGCAGCAGCCGAAAGCTGAAGAGCACTTTGGAGAGCCTCCAATCTGAGGTTGAGCTGCTTCGATATGAGAACCAGGGACTCCGTGAGACAACTATCCATGAGAAGCAGCGCAGACAGCGCGGTAAAGCTCCGAAGGACTACCTCTTCGACCGCATAGATCCTAAGTCAGCTCAGATATTTAGCCCCGCGAAAGTGGCTCAAGCCCGTGTAAAGAAGGCTGAAATGGAGGCCCGGAAGAAAGAGGAGGCTTTGAAGAAGGAGGCGCAAAAGATTCAGCGACAGCAGAAGGCGGCTGAGCAAAAGGCTCTCGCCTTGGAGAAGAGGAGGCAAAAAGTGGCCGATATGGAGACAAAACGACAGAAAAAGGAAGCCAGGAAGCAAGAGAGGGAGGCCAGGCGGCAAGTCCGGCAAGAGCTGGAGCGCCACAGCCAGGAAATAGCATGCGAAATGCAGCATGAACAACAGGCCGCTTCTGAGGGTCGCGCGAAAAGCCCCGGCGTTCGAGACGAAATAATCGTGGTCGCTCCGCGCTCACAGGAACCGCCGGCAGCATCGCAGGTACAGGAACCACCAAACAGCAGCGCAAGTCCGAGGGCAACAACGACTCCGGTGCGCACAATACGTGCGAAAAGACCGTCTTTGGCTTGTGAGAGTGATCGGGAGATGGGTGGTCGCATTTCGGAGCTCCGGGAGACCACAGCGAAATAGTAAGCGGCCACGATGGCTTGATGACTACGAAATTGATTGATACATGTGTACCTGGCGAAATTTTGCTAGACGTCAAATTTGAGACTATTTGATCTTGTGGTTGTGTGGTAATTCTTGATTGATGCCAGGAATGCAACCGCGTGTAAGTCCGGCGGATCGCCGGATCCGGCAGATCACCGGGAAATCCCTTATCTGTCGTATCGCTTTCCCATCACCACCGCTGCCCGCCGCTTTCTTCGCGATTGTCACTTGTCCGGCCTCACCATTGTTTGACTTTGTTTTGTGGCGGCGGCGTCCGTTTCTTCTATACAGGGTGAGGAGAGCCCGATCCTGGATGCGCAGATCACTACTGCGCTAAGGTGCTACTGTGCGTCCAGAGGCAGCCATGCGATCCCGAGGAGCCGAACACGCATGCGAATGCAAGTCCAGAGTAGGGACAGCAACGTTATCATGGTGACCACTTAGCCATGACAGTACCTGTGCATTACGGGACTTGCGGTAGCCGTACCATCTTCTGGGCCTGTCCGTTTATCCAGCTGCGGTTATTGCCAGTAGGGGAATGACCTTGGAGAGAACGAGGGGCGGGTATGCGTTCTGATTTGTCCAGAAACTGGTCAGAGACGTGGTGAGGTTGATGGAGGTATTCGTCTATGAACATCGGCTCGCCCATTGCGCCTTTGCGGCTCGTAGGATAGTAATAGGACGCAGGGCCAGAATAATTCACGGCAACAAGCCGCCATAGCGGCGAATGGATGCGATGCCTCGCGCGGCAAAAGCACGTCTGGTGCGGCCAGTTGTCCAGTTGGAGAGATTTTGCAATGTGCAATGACACTACAAGGCAGAAAGCAGCCTTCTTTCCTAGTGCGGGCAAAGGGCGAGCCAGTTCCCGGGTAAACATATTGTCGACTACCTGCAGCTGCTGGGTGCCGGAATAGCACTCTGTCGCGGCAAGACGTGGACTACTGTGACCTTATCCACAAACGCCCCATAAACTCATCCGCGCAACCAAACGCGGCTCCCAAAACCTATCTGGAAGCCATGCTTAAGGGCGGCAAGTTCCCTGAGTTGCTGCGTCGTCCAGTTCCGGATGACCATTTGGAAGGTGACCCGCCCTTTGCCCGTCCGGCAGTAGGAAGTGGACAAGATGGCCACTGCAACTGAATCGCCCTTTGCTCACCAGAAACAAGGCTGGTTTCTGCCTTTGCCGTTCAGGGTCATTGCCGGTTGCATCCTCCCCAGCTGGACAAGTGACCGCAACTGGCGTGATTTTGCCGCGCGAGTCATCGCATCCATTCGCCGCTATGGCGGCTTGTTGCCGTGAGCCATTCTAGCCTCGGGTCTCTTACGATCCTAAGAGCAGCAAAGGCGTCATGGGCGAGGCTATGTCCACATACGACCACCTCCATCCCCACCCCGTCTTAGACCAGCTTCTGGACACATCAAAAGAACGCCGTATCCTCGTCTTTACTGTACCTGCGCCATATTGTACCGACCGTGGCAATAACTGTAATTGGATAAACGGACTGGCCCAGAAGATGGCGTGGCTACCGTAAGTCCGTAATGCAAACGTACAGTAACGGCCAAGTGCTCACCATTGTGACGTTGCTGGCCCTCCTCTGGACTTGTGTCCACATGCGTGTTCCTCGGAATCGCGTGGTCACCATCGGACGCGGCAGCAGCTTATCGACCTAGAGCTGCACACCCAGAATCAGGCCTTGTGGCCCCATAACGTCTTGCATAGAATGGACACACCTCCACGCAACGACGTCGAGTAAGTGACATAAGCTGTAGCAGCCGACGACAAGCAGAGACTGGACGGCAGAAAGCGACGGACGCGGCAGCTCGAACGCGGCAGCAGGAGATGCCACCAGGCAACGTCAGGAAGCCGACTTTAGCTGCGACGTAGCGTGCACCAAGAATGTGCCAAGACCGCGTGTGCTACGGTGATCTGCTTGTCAAGCTTTGTACAATGTCCGCCATTGCCATAGTCGACGCTTAGACGGTAGAAACCCCTGCGACTGCGTCTCGGCACAGGCTCCACATCAGCGAGCGGCATGTCTGGAACCGGACGACGCCGTCCATGTGAAGGAATTGGACGAATTAATGGCATCTTGTCCGTCTTCGCGGCCTGCATGGAGGCTTTCGTCCGGGTCTAAATGTTGATGGCCCAGGCGGACCATGTGGCCACCGCCGTTCCGAAATGATCTGCACGGCAGAACTGGCCGTCACCATGCAACCACGTTGCGAAGCTGACATGTACTGAAGCTGCCATACGCGACGCAAGAAGTGGACGAAATGGTCTCCCCCTACTTCGCAATGATCTGCACGGCATGCTCTGGCTGCCGCTACGTACCAATGTCGAGAAACCGACATGTACCGTAGCTGCGAACACGACCCAGAGAAAATTGGTCGGCGCACGTCCGAAGCGGGTCCCGGCCGCCGCATCCACTTACATGTTCCATGTCACTGATCGACCACGAGCGGACGAAGTGAGATGTAGGCAAACGGCGCGACAAGAAGCCAACGATCGGTGGGTAACTGCCACGTGAAGAACAGGACAATCGCACGCTCTTGAAAGAGTAATCTGATGTCGAAAACTGGACGGCGTACCCGCAGCGTCGCACAGCACATGGCCCTGGCACACCATACGCGAATCCAAATCAGCGAGCAGCATGACACGAGTTGGACGACGGTTCTACGCACGGCACGGAGTGTCAAGCTGCCACCTCATCTGGATGCAGCCCTATACCCAAATTCTTCTTTCTGATTGCGCGAGCCAGATTGACCACACCTTACCACACTTCAATGGTGTGGTCTGCTTGTCAGGAACCGGAAGACAAGGTAGCGAGAGCCACCGCTCAACGACGCCCAGAAAGCGGCGTCTGGGTCTTGTCAACTGTCCACTTGCTCCATGTCCATACAGAACTGGGCGCGTGTTTGCACAATGCCACAACTCGCCCCGGCTCCATGGCAATGCCGGTGTGGAATGAAAAGTCTCTACCGGACAACTGTACCACATGGGCCAATTCATGCTTCTCCTTGGCCGGGGTTATGGAGCCTATCTGTCTCCGCACTTTCGGTGCGTAAGGGCGCACGGGATATGGCCAATTGCTCACAGCCTTCCACACCACGGCAGAGCCGGCCACATTCACAAGTCACTATGCTGTCCTTGGCCGGAGATGGAACATTGTACGAAATACAGCAAGTGCAGGCTGGCACGGCTCCAATAGGAACAATTTGTCTGTGGCCTTCCTTTGTGGCGACTTGGAGAGAGCTGCCGTGCCGCCAGGTCGTTGACGTCTTGACCTAGCCGATGGGGTACATTCGTATTGGCCACGCCCAACTTTTGCGATGCGGTCTTTCTCGGTCCATCAGCTGCCTACGTACTGCCGCACTGTACCTAAACCTCACCCGTCGTGATGGTCGTACCGTCTAGAGTTCGCTACAAGCTGTACATAAGTCAATGGCAAGGACAAGCATCCGCTTTATGCATCTCTGGTGCCGTTTATGTGGACGTGCATGTCCAAGCTGAGTCTCGTTCATGACGTATTGCCGACAAGGGCAGTGGCTAAGGTGTCGCAAGCCGTGGCGGTTCAGCTGGACGCCTTGGTCCATCACGAGCGTGTATGCGGAGCAGGCGCATCCGTGACGACGCCTTGACATCACGTCCAACTTTAAGCGGTGCAGAGGGATACACGAGCCCGGGCCTTCACTATACGAGATTCCTAGCCCAGGGAGGCCATCAATCGCTATCCTCTTTGCACAAGCCGCCGGACTGGAGATACACAAGAGCGGGGCCGAATCTCGGCACCCTATTGCGTGCCGTGGGAGCGCCACAGCGTACTGGGACTCGGTCGGAGGTATGAGTTGGGCCGCTCGGTACATGAGTCTGGCCAGTCTCATAAATCTGACTGTCTCTCATCGTCATGCTCTCATCTGGAAAGGCGGTGACTGCGAGGTCAAGTTGACGGAACAGATCCTGGGCGTCATCGTCGCCGCTGGTGCTGCCTGGGGGCTTCTTTAAGGCCCTTTCCCTAGTGCCTTGGATGTATCGCGTTGTCATCAAGATGCAATTCTGGAAGTGATAGAGGACTGGGGCTTTGCTTCCAAGCTCGGCTATTTTGTGATGGACAATGCAGGCAATAATAATACGACGATGAAATCTCTTTCTCTTGGTTAGTTGAACGACCTGTGTCTTCCGACTGGCCCGAACACTCGCAGGACTTCTACGTCGGTTTGACATTCACTACGAAGCCAAAACACACAAACTTCGCTGCCAAGGCCATATTATCAACCTCACCGCGAAAGCATTCCTCTCCGTCACGGACAACGAGAAACTCGAGCATGACGATTCGGGGAATAATGCGACATTGAAAGAGAGCAAGGTGGCGGCAAAAGGGCCCTCTCGGCAAGCTTCATAACTTCGTCGTCTTCATCCAACGGAGTGTCCAGCGCAGCCAAAGATTCCAAGTTCTAAGCCGCAACCGCAAGCTTGCGCGAGACAACGACACAAGATGGAGCTCGTGGTATAATATGCTGCAAGCGGCGTTAAACCTCCGAGAAGCAATAGATGGTTATTTCAGCAAGTGGACGGAAGCAGATTGTGCCGGCGACGAGCTCTCCGCAGAGGACTGGGTCGTCCTCGAGAAGGTCAAGTCCTTTTTAGAGAAGCTCAAGATGACTACCAAGGCACTGGAATCGTCGTTTGCAACTCTCGACAATGTCCTCCTGGCTATGGATTTCATGCTTGCGCAGTTTGAAGCGGGAAAGGAAGCACACAAAGGCGATCCGATGATGGGGCCGATGTACAACTCGGGCTGGGCGAAGTTGGACAAGTACTACCGTCTTACCGATGAATCGCCTGCCTATGTAGCGGCCGATCGTGCTCCATCCCTCGCACAAATGGCACTACATACAGGAGAACTGGAAAACAAAGTGAGTTGAGTCGTCAAAGAAACTCCTCATAGGGGGTATCATGGCTTGCCCGAATTGTTGTCATACTCTGCATCTCGCCCGGCACAGTTTGCCTGTAAGGCAAGGCTTTGGGCGATACTGTGGTTGTGTATGAATTGCGTGGCCCCGGCTTGGCAAATAAACTCGAAGCGAACGGTGGAGGTTGCCATTTTGTTATATTTGCAGCTGTAAAACCTCTGGGGGCGTTCAAATGTGAAGAGACCAGTCCTGTAGCCGCCATGCACCCTTCGAGTCTAAATCGCCCTCTCGATCGTCTTAATTTTTTAGACGTCAATAATGAACGCCACTTCCAATCCCAAGCTTTCTTTCCTCAAGGCTCCTTGCGCAACTCAGAATGCGGTTTCCCCCGGTGTGCTGTGGCTGGATAGCTACCCCAACCACCGCACAAGCGCTGTACGCCATCGGGTTCTGTCAGTTGTGGACAAGATGACACGGTTCGCTCATTGGTGGCTACAGTGTTGGTCGCAACTGTTGCTAGACTCGTTCTGGGTGTATCCTCTGAAGAAGAGCGAGGGGAAGCAGCAGTTGCTTTTATCGCCCTTGACCTTTGCCGTGGAGCACTCGGACTTTTCGAGGTCTCTGCCTGTGGCGTTGAAGCTGAACGCGTTGCCAGTCAGCACGCGGTGCAGCTGGGGATGATGGCCCACCCGGATTAATGATGGGATCCGTGCGACCAATGGTGAGCTGTTTATTGGTGAAGGGGGGACGGCAAAAGTACATGTGTACTTCGCGATAGCGGCGGTGGTGGCTTGCGAGGCACGCAGTTAGTGTGGCAACTCCGAGTCTCATGGCACGAGGTGAAGACAAGCCCCGCCGTCCCACGCCACGGACGCATAACTACAGTAACTGACGACTGGGCAGAAGATCCCCTGTTAATCGGGAACGAAAGAATCTTCAATCTTCGAGTTAATGAGTGGCTATGGTCAGTAATTTTATGCCTGTGCCTGTTGCTGCCGTAGCCTTGGGTTGGCTGTAAGCATCGGAGGCATGGGCAAAGCTGAGTGTGTGAAGTTATTGCCACCCTTAATAGGCAGCAGCGCTGTTAGCGGTCTACGTGAACGAGTGGCTTGATGTTGACAGGTCATGACTCTGGGCCGGGTGCTATTGTTTTCTCCGCTAGCGACGGGTAGGTGGACTGCTAAGACCGCCTCTGGCGCCTGGTCAGCTTCCGTCTGTGGAGGTGTGTGAAACGGTTCCTCCATCAGCTTCGCAAGCTCTTAGTCTTCACTCTCATGTAACTTTGGCTTGCGGCTTGCTCAGTCACTGACTCGCTTCGCTCAGCGGCACGTTCATTTTCTTGCGACTCTGCGTCGCTCTCGCCACCTCCTTCTGGCGGATCACGGATTTGAGCCAGCTCAGTGTCTCGTTGCTTACCGCGAGGGCGGTCGAGACGGCGGCTTTGCCCTGGGGGACCAGGCCCTGCTGCTCGGCCTCCGTGATCTTGCTGCGGTAGACCTGAAACACATGATCGCGGCCTACGACCGACTTGTTGTACGGCAGCAGGATCAAGCGGCGGGTGTCGTTGTAGAGTTTGTTGGTCGGCTTTTTGACGACTGGGAAGCGCTCGTCGATGCGGTCGAGCGTCTTGTCACCCAGGGAGTCCGCGCGCTGGACATAGGGAGAGATGTAGCCGTAAAGTTTGGCGATCCAGGGGCGGACGGGAACGGCCAAGGTCTGGTAAGCGGAGTAGCCGAGCTTGATGGAGCGCTGCGCGTACTCGTTGGACGAAAGTGGTGATGCCGTCGCTGATGAGTGGATAGTTGAGGACGTGCTGAAGCCGCTTTCGTTAGAGAGACGTCTAATCACGCAACATGGCGCATCGACTTCTGTCGGAGATGCGTACCTCGATGAAAGCAGACTGGTGAGCAGCGTTCACATCGCCGTTGACCAGTGGAACGGCCATTGCGGAAGGGTGTGTGTAGGACGAGACAGTGCGGCCTGTGCGGTTGACAGCTTTCGACTGATACTCGACACCACAGCGAACTTCTTGTCGGTACGACAGAGGCGAGACTTCAAGAAGTATTATGTAGACGGCAGGAGGGCAGTGAAAGCGAGGTGCAAACGTGCGAGGTCCACAGGTAACAAACTGGAGGGTGGCAGATGCAGGAGCGCCACAGGGAATGTAGCAGGATAGGACTATATAGTAACCCATGGGAGAGCACTAAGGGCCAGAAAATCAGCGTACGAAGTACTCGTACCACGCAATGGCCAAATTCAGGCATGCAAAGCTTGTTGCATTGGACATGCAGTCCCTTGCTAGCACGGCCGCATGTGCAAGCCCCAAGTCCTAGATGGAACCGGTGGGTTCATTGGTGACGGTGGAAAACCGAATCCACTGCGCCGGCACAGCTGACGAGACCAGCCATGGTAACCCGTCCGTGTCGGAGCATGGAGAGGTGACGAGGCATGCGCCCGGGGCCGAAAAGCATCATGGACACCTCAGGTTTCCAGGGTCCAGGATGGCAGAGTGGCTCCCACTGCCCACCGTCCCAACCATGCCGCCCGTCCATTCGCGATTCGGCGCGGCACCAGCCCGGGCTACTGCCGCCATTGTCTAGCACCCGCCTCAAAGCCACGGCTTGTCCACCATCCACCGTGCAGCTATTTATTGCGCAGTTTCTTGGGACGCTGGGCACGTGAAGATGGACCTCTCCATCCGGATGAACGTTGAGAGTGCCGGCTGAGGCGAATCCCTGCCCAATCGCCACAACACGCAGTCCACAAACACGCCCTCTCGGGTGGCCGAGAGAGCGTGCTGGCATGCTGGCCCGTTCAGGGCTCAGAGACAGTCGCTGTGGGAGTGGTCTGCCATTGAGAGCCGTGCATCTCGCCCCGCCCCCTTGGGAGGTTTGGGGGTGGGTGGGGGGT